TTCATGTGTTTGTTTTACAAATACTTATGAGAGTTGGCCATGGACCAGCACCATTGTAGAGATGAGGTACTAGTGAGAGAAGATAATAGTGGTGAATGAGGCATCCTAAAACCTTGCCCTCATGGACCCTTCAGCTTAGTAAAGGATTTGGGTGACTGTTTTGTAAGTCCTGCTTCATTTTACCTATCCAAAGTCCTCTGTTGAACTGTATCTTTACCCAGCCTCCTGTTATGACACTGTATTTGATAAAGACAAACTTTAAGAGGCTGAAACACAACTGGTTCCAAATTTAACCCTTAGTCAAATATTTCATGGTGAAGCTGCTGTACTATCTCTGAAAACAAAGCAAGAGGAGGTTGAAAAGCCTTAAATGTCAGGAAAGTACAGGAGCTACCTAAAGCAGGAGAGTGATTTATTCAAGGCTTCATATGTAGGTAAAGTCAGGAAGAGAAATGGGTTCCTAAACTTATTTTTTTTTTTTTTGTTTTTGCTCTGTTACAAAAATGTATTCCTCCAACATTTAAACAATATTCTCAAAATTCAATAACACTTCTAAAAACTTAGAGTATTCCTAACACAGTAGGAAAGCCTACTCAAAGGACCACCATGTCACTTGCTCACATGGAGTGCATTCATTCCCTGTTATCACCCAAGTCCCTGACAAATTGTCCTATACAAATAGACACTCAATATACAAGTTTAGTGAACCAATGGATGAATGTTGTGAGCATTGATATAAGATATTAATTTACATTATTCACTCATAGACATCTACGGAGCACAGTGTGGAAATTTCCTGCAGACTCATTATGCTCCTAGCAGAACTTTGTGTAGGGTTTTTGAAAATTCTGTTCAATTCCATAGGAAAGGGAATTAAAAGCTATTTCTATGTACTCCTCTCCTCTCAGGTGAAACTCAAAATGGGTTTTTGATATAAAGTGCTAGGCTGGTCTCCAGAATATTATGAGTCCCTTTAAATGGACTTTTACCTTCTGAAGGGAGCATGGGAAGAGGGAGATAAAATATCTCCTCTTAAACTCTCATCATTCTGGGAGAAACAGAAGGTTATTTGAAGGAAATGGAGAAATAGTAAAAATGAACTACATTAGTATATTACTATATACAAAACACCTTCCTATCTGCTATTTAATACTTAAAACAATTGTGTAGGTGCCATTATTATTCCCATATTACAGATGAAGACACTGAGGCATAACAGTATAAGCCTGGAAATGGTAGCACCTGCACTCAAAGAGCATTCTTCTGACTTTAGAACTGGTGCTTTTCAAGTACCTCACCCTTTCTTTGTAAACCTGGTAATACCACAACCACCTGCACGCATACAGGCTTTCATCTGTGAATCACGAAGCAGGAGGGTTTGTGGCAAACCTGTCTTGAAGATGATGGATGCTGTACATTGGTGCACACTCCCTATTTTAGTTGACAGCATCACCTTGCGGATGAAAATACATCTGGTGTATGTTTTTATTTGTAAATACATGTTTACTCTGTTGATTAGGGATAATGAGCCAAGCTCTCATGCTGTCAGTCAGAATTGTTTGGAGATCGAAACTTCTTTTCCAGAGTTTACTTTTTTTAGTAATCAACTATTAAAATGATCAAATAGTAACATTTAACTGACAAACAAACAGAATGAGAGCTGGTTTGTTGCTGGTCATACTGGTTAAAACTTACAGCAATTTTAGTTTCTTAATTAATATTTTTTGAATAGTGGGAATTAGAATTTATAGCATTTGTGGCTTTGTGGCGAGAAATCAAAGGGCAAAGTGAAATAGTAGCAGCTTAGCAGAATCTCACTGTCTAAAGCAAAAGAAGGGTAGGGCCTCAAGTCCGAAGAGCCTGAGGTTCTGCCATTCTAACTTTGAGTAATTTTAAACTCTCTTAGCCTTAGTTTCTCCATCTCTAACATAGAGCAATGCCAAGCTTGTGAGAGGATCATCAAATGCCTGGCAATCTGGGTCCTTATATTTAAGATTTTAAGGGAAAGAGTCTCTGCAGTTAATGACAAGGAATGAAAACCACAAGACAATCATCCATCCAAGTGCACGCAGACAGTCTGTGCCACTCACTCAAAAGATCTAGACACATTTTAGCAGGAATCTCAGCCGATTTAGGTTCTTTTGCTGCTATAGATTTTTGGTAGACAAATAGGTTTTAAAAAATATTTTTTGTTATAGTGGAAAAAACATTGAAAAATAAAAAACACCCTGAATTTTCCGCAACGATTTCTTAAATGACAACATAAAGTTGACAACGGATTTAACAATAAGGGCAATTTATCCTAATTGCTCCGGAAGTGATTATTTAATAGGAAATTTAGCAACCTGTATTATGTTACATGCAATATCCTGATTAAATGTTTCCTTCAGAAGTTCTATTGGGAAAAGTTTTGTGTTTTTTTTTCAGTTCCTTTTTTTTTTCTTGTAAGGGAAAGCCTTCTTGGGCAATCTATGAACAGTCAGAATGGATTTTAAGTAATGTCTCATATTATTCATAGAGTCTGGAAAAAGCCGGCCTACTTCACTCTATCTCACCAGCTTTTTTTGCAGACTGCTCCCTGCCAACCTCCCTCACCGTACACCCTTCCCTCCTCCCCAGCCCAACCCTCACAGCTGAAAGTCTTGAGGGCAAACTTTCAGTTTAAATTTCCCAGCTTTTTGTCAGTTTATGTCAAAGCCCTAGCCACCTCTCCCACTGACTGCAGTGGCTTTGTTTTTTCTTCCCCTCCATTTGCTACTTGTTAGCCTCCGTGTACTGTGTCGGCACACTTACAGTAGGCAGAGCGCTGATGACAGATGGCGGGGGGG